CCGGGAAGTCTGAGGTACGAAGCATCATCTGCTCAGGACGGTACTGAGATGCTGTAAAATGCGATAGAAATACTTTGATACTAGAGTTGAACGTTGCTGTGATGATGTCATATGAGAGACCAGTTTTCACTAAAAGTATTAATGTAGGTGCCAGATTTTATCCTGCCCCGCTACCAAAAAGGGCAGAGATGTGGCACAACTCAGAACTAGCGCGTTAACCTTTAAACAGAGCATCCTTCCTCATTTTTCTGTCTGTGCTAGCATAGCATTGTTCATGGTAACTGTATTTTTTCTTTTCTCTCCTACAGTGCAGAAAGCTGTTGCTGAGAGGGGCCTTTGAGGGAGCAGCAGCCGAGCTCAGGGAGGGGAGGATGACTCAGCAGGGAGCTGTTCTTCAGGGTTACAATAACGAACTAGTGAAATGTATTGAAGATCTGTGTATGCAAAAAGAAGAGCTGAACAAACAAATCCAGCAAGCAGAAGAGGAAAAAAATAAACTCCAGCATGAAATCCAAGTCCTGAACGAACAACTAGAGTGTGTGTGTGAAAACCTGGCCCAAAAGGTAGCTTCACGGAATGAACTTGATAAAATTCTTGCAGAAACTGAAGCTGCTTACATGAAGATTTTGGATAGTTCTAGAACTTTACTTAATGTCCTGAAGAAGGAAGTGGGAAGCTTAAAGCATACACCAGAACTGAAAACCAATGTAACGTGAAACAGTCAAATGTTTGGACTCCCCAGTGTTAAAATTCCAGTAGGTGAGAAATGTGGATAGCCACAGAACCTTACAACAGTGTAAGCAGGGAGGGATTTTCTTCCAATCTCTCTGTGTATTTTGTTATTTTTTTTAAATGCACTAGAAAATAGATGAAATAAAGTTTCTGGTTTGCTGTTTAAAAAGTAATCTAATTACTCAAACACTACAAAACTTTACTGCATATAGGTAGTTGAGGCAGATGTGAGACTGCCCATTTTGACATGGTGATGCTTCAAGTCTGTTCTGAAGTTGGGGAAGAAAACAGCAAACATTTTATTGGTCTGCTTCAGATGGCTGCCAGTGAATTCTTGTTTGACTGAAAACTAGTGGATGCTGGTAGATCAGGTACCACTTCTTTTCACTTCCAACAGCTTAGGCTTTACTGTTAGAGACCAAGTAGAAATGAACTGTATACCCTCCTCTAGGAGTTGGGAGTTGTGTCTGATGCGTGCACAGAGACAGCCCCTGTTCACAATCATCTCTTGCTTACCTGGAATAATGGAGGGACAAGGTGGGTAAACATGACTGATGCAGAACATGGAGTCTTCGACAGTTAAATGTCGTATGGTTCACTCATGTCATGCTGTCGTCAGAAGGCTTGTTTAGAAAGGAGGCATGCAATGATGAAGACATGGTTTTGCCCTGCATGCAGCCACACTGTGTAAGCTCAGACCAATTTACAGATAAAGAAAAGGTGGTTGTCTTTCAATAGTGTTTAAAAGTCCTGAAAAACTGAGTTTCAATCAAAAGTACTAAGAGGCCAGAGAAGATCATCTTAGCTGAAAGCCAATAATAGAACTTCTGGAAACCTTATTTTTAGTATCCTATAGCTCTATACCAATCGATTTAATAATTATAATAAGACTGTAAAGAGTAGTAAACAACTTGGAATGGTGAGAAGTAAATATAAATGAAAGATTAAGGTAGAAAATGAGATTAAAAGTAGTTTGCAGCTGTCAGGCATTCTTACAGGTGATAACATAGAACCCAGTTCAGGGATCAGGGAGGAGGCATTTCAGCATGACACAAATCTCAATCCTGTTTCCTATTTCTAGTAGTTACTAAACTTCTCTGAGTGTGTGTGTGTGTGTGGTTCATTCATGTGTTAGAGCAGTAAATTTATTTTTGAGCTGTGTCTTGTAGTCACATCATTCAATGCCAATTAGCTAAATTGAAAGAAGTGCAAATGTAATCTTACTTGATAACTGTGTGTGTCTCAGGTGCGAGTATGGAGGGTGTGCAGATGTGAATAGTTTCAGTAGTAACTCTTCACCAGTCGTAGGAAGCAAATTTTACGTTCTTCTGGTTGCCATGATACATCAGGGGTTAGTGCTACTGGTCTAATGAACAGTTTACTTGTATAGCGTTTCCACTGGCTTCCCTCGAGTAGTAACGAGGTGATTAGATAGTCTCAGAGGTCTGCTATTGCTCTAGTGCTCCAGTGTTCAGGACCACATTGTTTATACTGAAGTGAAACACAAAAACGTCACTAGGTTTTAGTAGCAAAGAAAGTTTTTTGACTGAATGTTTCTTGGCATTCTCTCTTCCCTTAGTCTGGTGGCAGTAACTATATCAAAGTAGGAAGACTCAGGAAAAGGTGTTAACTAAAGATCAACGAGGTTTTTTTGAAGTTGCTTATGTGAACTGTTGCTTCTTACTGTCTGGAAGGGAACTTAAAATGTCTATGTGGAAAAAAAGTCATAGAAAGCTCATTTATAGAGAACAGTACTGTTAATTCCTTGTATTATTAGTCTTGGACAGTAATTATAATTTGTTTGCCTTAAAATAGTCATGTTTTATAAATAATACCACTTCTTGTGCTACTTAGATTGAAAACTAAAGAAATTTTTAAAGAGTATTTAAAGGAGTACTTAAAGAAGTCTAATTCATGTCCACTATTGCATCTAAGTGGAGCTACTACAGTGTCAAAGCTAAAATACTAAGGGAAAAATGTAACAGCTAGTATTTACACACACTGGGGCCTCCCAGATTTCAACTCAAAAGTTGAAATGTTATTAGAATTCCATTCAGTGATCTCAGTCTGTAAAATTTCTGTGTAAGTTCAAATTCACAAATAGAGAGCAATGATACCACATCTCTAGGGCCTGACTGTTTGTACAGTAACTCCCAAGTGTGGCAGTCATTGTGAACTTCAGTGCACCTGCAGAGTTGCTACTCAAAAGTAGCTCTTGTGTTTATGTTCTGTATTGACCGAAGTGAACTTACTGTGCCCTTTTATTGAAGTCGTAAACCTTTTTCACTGATTTTTCAGGTAGTATAAATCTTAACATAAATGGCTTTTCTTAAACAGCTTTTTGTTTAGAAGATGTGCAAATTAAATGAATACGCAGTATTGCTAGAACAGAAATGATAATTCAGAGATTACAGCAGCTCTGTACAGCTAGCCTGTACAGAGTACAGTTTACCTGGAATAAGGCAGATTATAAACTTAAAACATCATACTTACTCCTGACTTTATTTTCCATGCTGATTTTACATGACTGACTGGGTTAGATCCAGTAATTTACTTGGGTGCTTACAATCTAGGAACCTTAATGAGAAAAATCCAGGTTACCTCATCGTAGTGCCTAATTTAAAGTGATATGTTGGGTGCCTGGTAGCTTACTTGGTGTGTGAGGAGAGAGGTTTTGAAGCTCGTGTCTGTGCTTGATTCAGAGCTGCAGTGAAATGCATCTGGAGCATTGGTCTAATTTCCTGAATTTATGCAGTGGCGCCTCCATCTGGTTTCCAAATAACATTACGTTTCCAAATAACATTACGTAACTGGAGGAGAGAGGAGGATTCCCAGCCTTTATCGCAATACTCTGAAATGTGCACCTAACACCTACAACTCTAGTGATGAACAGGTTTTTGAAAACATTTGAGTCATGACTCCTGCCAAGTAAACTTGAGTTTATTATGTACAATATCCTTGTGGGTGGTATGTTGAAGTAATTTTCTGTATGGAAGTGTGTATACAAACCACAACTGTCTCTGCGGAGATGCTTACCCGTCAGTTCAGGTATGTCCCCACGAGGTTTCTGCCAGTCACCTTACAGGAATGGAGATGTGCGGGCTGGGGCAGGCACTAATTTTTCTGGGGTGGAGAATAAAGAGAAAGTATGGGTGTGGAGTCCTGGTTCAGGAAGACTGGAGCATGATGGGGTGTGACAGAATGAGAGGTGGGCTTCCTCTTAATTTCTCTCTGCTTTAACTGTGTCTGTAGTGAGCAACTGCCTATGGTTCCGGCTACCCAATAAATCAAATTTTACAAATCATTGGAGGTTCTCTCGAAGTCCTGACTTTTCCCTCTTTGTTTAAATCCACTGTCAAGCAATGGAGGCAACGTAGGTATTGCTTCCTCTTCTTGTCTTTTACTTCTTTCTGGGCACACAACTGTCATGCTGAGCTGGCCAGTTCCAGCAGGAGGCTGTGGTTAATGGTCCTGCCAGGCCCACAGAGGATGCATTGCTGTTGTTGCCTACCCTCTGGTGAACAGTAATTGGTGAACTACTTGGGTTTTATGGGGAACCCAAAGTCCTGTCAGTGTATTAGATATGCTCTGCTTGTAGGTCATGTTGACCTTGGAGAATTTAGGCAGAAAGATGTCAATTTTTTGACTCTTAACTTGGTGAATGCAAGGGATTTATTTCTTCAGACTAGGAAGTCTTCAGACTGGGAAGACTAGGCATCTTCAGACACCTGAATTGTCCATTCAAATAACGAAGCAAGCTGTAATCCAAACCCAGATGTCTGGGTCTTGGATTGCAATTTCGAAATGGGATATCTCAATTTCATCTAGCTCCCGTGCTGTGTGTCTCACTCCAAGTGGATTAAGCTAAATTGGAACAAAGTACTCTTAATTAGGGAACAAGAACATTCAGAAGATTGTTAGCAAAAGGATCAAATGTCTACAGTTAGCTCATCGTGCAGATGAGTCCTGCACAGAAGTCCAGTATCTATTACTCCTTATATGATTTTGCTTGTTAGGAGAAATTTGAGTTAGAAGTTGTAGCTTCTAAAATTGCTGAAATTGTCCTTAACTTTGACTAGATCCGGGGCTCTTGGGTTTTTATGTAAGAAGTAGGTAAAACAGCTCATTATTTTAATAGTTTTTTACTCTTTTTCAGTAATAAATACTTTAATATTGTTTGTTTTGTTTTAACAGATGGATATAAAAGTTTTTCTAAAATCAGTGCTCTTTAGCTTTGTTTTTATTGTGTATATGTGTGGTTTTAAATATATGTATAAGTATCAAATATCTGGTTTTTGCTCTATTGAGGGGAGCACAGATTATCTTATGGTTTCATTTGTGCATAGATTGCTTTGTCAGTGTCTGTTGTGTTACTGTGCAAGGGAAAGTCGGGCATGGTGGCTGCTTCTTGGGCAATTGTTCTGTGCCTTTATTTAACTGGGACTGAGTTTTTTTGTTCTTTGCCCCTTGCTGCTTTACAAGTATGTCTTAAATTTCAGTTGGCCTATAGTAGTCCTTGATTGTTTATTTTCCTTTGTTGTTTTTCAGATGTTTTGTTCAATATCTAGCTGTGAAAACCAGATGTGTGCAGGTGACACAACGTACCTGCATGTTAAGTGTTAATAAAATGTGATGGAGAGGTTCAAGCTTTCAGAAAAGGGAGCTCTATGTTAGTTGGTCATTCGTAACTTTAGCTTATGGGATTTGTGTGAAAAGTAGTTCAGTGTTGTAGTTTGATTTTACAAAAATGTGTTAGAAGAAATGGGGTTAACAAAACGCTTCCATTTTACAGCGGTTTCAAAAGTAGCTTCACAAGATCTTGTGGAGTGGAACAACTTGCATTTTTTTGTGCAAGACTAGACAACTGATATGCTGCAGTAACCACTAGAATAAATTAGTGAATTTTAGTGCAAACTTAAATATCTTATTCAGAAGTGGCATTGAAAATAACGGTGTCAGATCTTTGCATTTGGATTGTAGCGAACTTGCTACATCATTCAAAGCTGGCGATATTTGTAAGTGTGCTTAATTTGAATGTCTTTAATGGGAACATGTTACTCTTGGAATAGGATTCATCTGTATTGGTGGAAACGGGCACTTGTAGACAGAGATCATGCTCAAGCAAAGGTATTTGAGAAAAGTCCTGTCAGCCT